CTGGCCTGGGCTGCAGCTGGCTCCCGTGGGAGCTGTTATCCTCTTAAAGGCCATCACGTCGAAATGTTCACATTTTACAGTCGAGGCCATGTGGTAGTGGGCCCCAGGCTGCATAACTAGCAGGCCCTTCCAGCCCCACACACTGCCCTCTTTCACGTCAGTGTCCTTCCTGTCCCTCAGGGACTTGCTCCGAGGCAGCAGGTCTCATGTTTCACCGCTAGATTCACATTCACTATGGATAGAGCCTGGCTCTGCCCGCACCGGGTCACCAGGCACTTTCCCCTGTGTGCAGGATGTGTGGAAAGGACCCAGAACTTTCCTAAGATTCTCCCTCGCCTTCCTCCGCAGTTCAAAGCCACAGTTCTTGAGGGAGAGGCTCTGGGTGGTGCAGACAATGAGCACCCTTGGCTGCTAATCAAAAGGTTGGCGGTTGAGTCTACCCAGAGGCACGTCAGAAGAACGGCCTGGTGACCCACCTTCAGAAAACCAGCCCCTGCAGCCCCTATGGAGCACAGGTCTAGACCGCCATGAGTCAGTGTGACAACATCTGGCTTACTGGTCCCCGAGGGAAGGAACCTGGGTGTGAGAGGGGGGCTCTGGGACCGTGTGTGACCTTCGTGCTGAGGTTTATGTCTTCATTCTTTAAGAATTCTGTTCTCTTCTAAAGCAATTCTCCAAGGGAAACCACCCCACCGGGTGACGTGCTCACACTGGGGAGAGGTGCCAGGACTCCTTGGCTCTCGGTGCACACAGCTGGGGCCAGTGTGGGACCCTGACCAGGCTGTGGGGACAGCAGGCCCCAAGTGGCAGGCACCCCTCTCCTGGTAGAGGTGGGTGGAGGCGGAGCAGGACAGCACCCACCATCTTGGTCCCACCCCACCCGCCCTGCAGTGCTGCCAACGTGAAGAAATGGGAGATAGAGCTGCAGACGCTGCGGGAGAGCAATGCCCGGCTGACCACGGCGCTGCAGGAGTCTGCGGCCAGTGTGGAGCAGTGGAAGAGGCAGTTCTCCATCTGCCGTGAGGAGAACGACCGGCTCAGGAACAAGGTGGGCCGCCAGCCCCAGCCCTGTCCTGTGTGGGCTGGGCCACGTGGGAGCAGCAGGGCCCGCCACTGAGGCTGGCTGGAGTGGACAGGGGTGTGTCCCTCCCTCCTTCCCTTCCTTCCTCCATCCCTCCCCTCCCCTTCTGAATGCACACACAACGTATCTCTTATTAAAAAATAATTGTTGTTTAGTTGGAGTTAATACAGATATCATATCATTCCATAGTTCAATCACGTCGAGCAGCATCATACGATCGCGACCACAATCATCAGTTTCCAAACATTCTGTTCCTTCCTGGACTCCTTGACACTGTCTCCCTTTTAACCTCCCTCCCCTAACCACTGTACCGCATCCCCTTACCTGAAACCCGTATTCTACCTGCTGTCCCTATAGCTTCATCCAGCATAGCTCTTCTTTACTGTAAATTAGGACAACGGTGCATTTCAAATCATCCACTTTGTATTCAATAGCTTAATTTCCTAACCAGCACCTCCAAAGTTTACCCTTTACCCCCTCCTTGTTTCCTCTGCTCCCTCTCGTGGGTGACTATCACCCATGACACCCAAGTTAACACCCATCCCCTGTCTAGTCTGTTAATTCCTCTCCCCTCCCCTCCCCCCTTCGGCAGCCTCCAAAGTCTGCTTCTTTGGTATGACTGTCTGTCTGTCTGTCTGTCCGTCCGTCTCACTGAGAACAATGGACTCGTGTAATGCTGCTCCTTTGGTATGACTGTCTGTCTGTCTGTCTGTCTGTCTGTCTGTCTGTCACTGAGAATAGTGGGCTCATGTAATGCCGCTCCTTTGGTATGACTGTCTGTCTCACTGAGAATAGTGGACTCGTGTAATGCTGCTCCTTTGGTATGACTGTCTGTCTGTCTCACTGAGAACAGTGGACTCGTGTAATGCTGCTCCTTTGGTATGACTG